CTTCATTGTGTGGCGCAAATTAAAAATCAAATTAACCCTTATGCTACCGTTTTAGGGAACAAAAGTGTTTCTTTTCTTTTTGTTAGATTTGGAACACTTTCGCGCTACGTTACATTATAAAAGACCACCCGTTTTTAGTTTTTTCAATGAGTTATTGGCAACGAGTATCCAAAAAATTATTCATAGAAACCTACTGCAATTTACAGCCTAGAGTTTCTTGAAACAATGCACCAAAGTATTTCAGTTTCCAATTTCACTATGGTAATATTGTTTTCTTTTCTCTCTATAGAAATTATGTTCCAATCTATATGAAAGAATCTAGATATATATATTATAAATGCGAAAGTTTGTTTGGAAGTTTGGTCGTCTTTCATGCAAAAACAATTGAATTGATTATAATGAAACTTTACAGTAATATAGCTTATACATCAGAATAACACATAGGCTATAATTTTTAAAGATATTGTGTGAAGTGTCCAAAATATTATGATATTTGTCAAGTAAGTAGGAAAAAATTCTGCCATCTGCAAGCAATTCTGGCGTGCGCTGCAGAAAAGCCCACGACAGCATATATCTATTTTTTGTTTGTGAAGAAAACCTTTTTGTTTAGGCAATGCAAGGCGCTCGCTTCTAATTTATTTCTGTAATCAGCGTAATCCCTAATTTTTTTATTTCAAAATAAAACTAAGTTTTGAAGGGAAAGGTTGTTACAAATCTCTCTTTATTTGAATATTTCTTGGTGATTTTACTATGCACATTTGGTAGTAAGGGAATTTGATCTTTTTTGAAAATAAATACTTCTTTTATCGCTTCTGGTACTTAAAGTAAATAAACTTTCATACTACATCATTTGGACAAATTTTCAAAATTTGTTTGTGGTTAGTAGTTAATTATAACTCTAAAACTTTTATTGAATAGGCAGATATTGCATTTTTAAGTATAAAAATAATTATAACTACTGTACTGTATATTTTGGAGTGAGTCAGTGATTATTAAAGTCGCACTGTTCAGCTACACAAGGCCTTTTGTCGACGGACCGAGTAATTTTGAACCATGGTCAAGTGACGGGGACGACACCCGAGCTAGCACCTCCTTCTCCTAACTACCACACCACATCACTTAGCAGGGAAATTCTACCAATACTTAGCAGGAATATTCTTTGAAATCCACTCTTCCAAGATATATGGCAGCACGGGTTCTATGATGAGGTTTTTAGTTGGGAAGGCGAATAGTTTTGTAGCAGATATTGCGTTTTCGGTGGATTTTGAAGATTATCATTTCTCTCCCGGAAAATAGTTAATGTCAAAATATACGTGTCTTATGTTTTTGTATGTTGATGAAGACCTTAGAAAACGATTTAACTATTTATTTTAAGTGAACGATGTATATAATTAATTTTACAGTGGAATATCTTTAATTAATTTATTAGCTCTAACGGATTAAATTTTCCAAAGTGGAGTATTTTGTTTATGTATATCCCTTAATTTTCAATATAGTGATCCAAAAAAAATAGTGCATGAAAAAAACTGCAGTAAATCACAATGCGGTAGATAAAGCATTAACGTGCATCTCTCACTTACACAAAGCTCTAATAATCTCGAGCTATGAAAGTAGCTAGACATTTGTCAACTTGACTTTATCATCTACATTTCGCTATGTTTTTCATTGAATCGCCATTATAATTTAAGAAACGGCGTTGCTTGCGAACATTACAATTTTAAAATAAAATAAATACAACAGAAAGTAATATTAATGTATTAAACTTTCAGATATAAATTATTTACACTATTTTAAGCTCTCATTACACAAAACTTTTAACAATGTGTTACTTTTGCTCAGCAGAAATCCGCTTAGGGAGGTATTTTCAAAAATCGACCCTCGAGTGTGTTACGGGGAATTATAAATAACAAAAATCCTTTTAATCAGCTCTTAGATCTACATACTTAAAATTTAACAAAGGTGGGTTTTTTTGTTGTTGTTGTTCAGCTGAGATATGCAAAAAGTTTTTTTTTTTTTTTGTTAAATTTGCAATTCCCGTAAAAGTAACTCATTAAAAGCTTCTTTATCCTTCAATCTGTGTTGTTTAATTTTTCAGTTCTACCGTGCGAAGGACGGGTATTCCAGCTAGTATATCCATAAAAAGATATACCACTATTGAAATAAAATTTTAGTAAAAAGTTTCGTGTTCTTAGAATAAAAATCTTTTTAAGTTTAAGAATATTTCCGTTTTCAATAAGTTCTTAAAATTACATAGCAAAGCTAATTTGAAATCAATACTAATTCCAAGTTCATAAATGCATCGCTAAACATTTTGCTATCACGTGTAATAACTATCTATAAAAAAAACTATTTACTTTATTTCTAGAAACGAATGTTGGGTGTATGTTACAATCTAAATATTTAATCGCGTTTTATCTCTGCTAAACCTGTGTATTGCATTAGACTTTGACAACTTCCAAGGCGATCTTTAGCATCGTATTGATTAAGGACAGAGTTGTTATGAAAATAAAAATCATTTTCATTGTTTAAGGGGACATGGTACGATTTAAGCAAAAAAATTTAATTTTAGGATTTAAAAAATTTTTTTGGTTGTCTCCTATTTGTGTATGCTATGTAAAACAGATTTTGTGCTAAGAATTTCATAAAAAGTTAGCCATTTAATTTTTTAAGGAAAAATTTGTGAAGTGATTTTAAAATGCTACTCCTCCCCTACAAAAGTTTACGTACACGCATGAAACTTGATTTACAATTACGTCCAACTATGTGTTAAAAAAGATTGTCTGGGTTTTGCGATAACACGATTGGTATTTGTACAATACTTCTTTTTATGAATCCTTATTGAAATTTTTTTTTAAAATATGCAAATTCTGACTTCAATTATTTTAAAAAACAAGTATTGCTTTGATTCAAAAATGCATACCAACGTTTGTTACATGTACTATTAACAATAGGTAAAAAAAATTTAAAGCATTAGGCACAGTAAAAAAGAAAGCCTTGGCATTTTAAATGAAGAGAAACTAGTTATTTTACCTTTCTGAAACAAGTAAGTTTAAAGTTTTGATATGCCATAGGGATGTGAATAGAAATGAATGTAAAAATCTATCGTAATTCTGCGTTTTTTAAGTTTAGAGTTTTCAAGTTTTGTGAGGTTATAGAAAAGTATACAAAGAAAATAAAATTAGATTTGATTTTTTGACCGATTTTTGTCAATTGCCCTCTTAAAGTGAAAATCAGTAGTGACATATTACAAATTTCTTGCAAGATATTAAATGAAGGGAATGGATAAAAAAAGTTTTTTAATTTGGATAACCTGAATTGGCTTAGATAAAAATAATTTTACAGAAATTATAATTTTTAACCTTTGTAGAGAGTTAAATATTTTAACTTTCAGTTAACTTCCCTTCCTTCCTCAGTGGCATGACAGCCCATTGTGGCCCTAGCCTTCTCAATAAGCTTTTTCCAGGACAGCTTTCTTCCTGATAGTGTTCTCCAATTCCTAGCTCTTAAAACTAGGAGACATTTTTTTAGGCCCTCAATCTGTCTGAGGTTTGGCCTGCCCTTTATTCTTATACCAATTGGTTGAGCATTGAAGACTTTTTTTAGTGGTGCGGTCTTCGTTCATTCTGATAACGTGACCTGCCCATTTAATTCGTTGTATTTTGATGAACTTAACAATGTCAGATCCACCCAGATGAAGCACCATAGCCACTCCTCTCGGATTCCATCGTTCGACCAATCGCCATCATGCCACTCAGCAGAATGGAAAACACCACTTTTGCCATGCCCAGCATCATAGACTCTCACGACATGGGATTGAGGACTGTTTTGCAGTCCCGATGCCCAAAAGAAAACGCCTATTCAACAATGTCAGATTCTTTATGTGATCGATAGGGCTCTAAATTTGATCTTCTTCGCCACGTACCATTCGCCTGAATTCCTCCAAAAATGAATCTTAAAAACTTCCTTTCGTAGATACTTATGTTCTCATCTGTTCCAGACATGAACCATGCTTCATATGCGTAAGTTAATACTGATCTTAAAAGACTTTTACACACTACAACCTTTGTTTTTCTTTTTATTAAATTTGATTTCATATATTTTCGTATTCCATTAAGACATATATCAGCGGTTTAATTCTCTTTTTGATTTCAGTAGTACAATCGTTTCTATTGTTAATTTCTGAACCTAAATAAGACAAGAAAAAAAAGCTGTCAACAACTTCAAAACTATACTCTTCAATTTTAAAATGGGAATTGTTAAAACATGATTTAGTACAAAGCATATACTTGGTCTTATTACATTCGGTTATATAGATGTAGATATTTATGTGAGGAATAAAAAGTAGCAAAAGTCTTCCATCCAGGCCATGAATTTTTTTGTACCTTTGCAAAGAAATATGCAGCGTAAGTGTTTTATGTCCTTCCTAATTATATATAAATGTTTTCATGATATATCGTTCATAGAAAGGTTCTAACTAAATTCAGTTTTCATCAAAAACAGTTTAAAAGTCTGAACCATTATATTATTTAACTGAAGCTAAAGTATAAATAATAGAGCACTATTAAAGTACCGCAGACAACTAACCACATTGCAGCAGAAGAGATTTATTTTAATAAAACTAGCTTTCGTTTATTCAAGTTATATGAACTTAAATTTATCTTAATTTAATCCCTTAATATCTGAAAAGGACTTTGAAAATTTTTTATAGGACCAATTTGTTTCAAAACGTAACGTTGAGCAATGGATCAGTAAAGCCTTGAATATAACATAAAACAAGTAATATATAAAAAAAAATAGTTACCATTAATATAAATATGTATATATGTATGACACAATCACAATATTGTAACAAAATAGAAAGCGATTTTCCTTGTAATTTTCCATTTTTCTTTCTATATAGGGTTTCGAAATATATTTTTTGTTTATTATTTATACCTTAATTAAATTTATTATTCTAAGAAAATAGAGTAGTAAAGAAGTAACATTCTCAGAAATTAGTCTATCCCAAGTGGGATTCGAACCTACGACCTTTGGATTAGCTGTCCAACGCGCTATCCATTGCGCTACAGGGACACAACCGACGATTTTCCTTTCTATATATGATGTTGTACTTTTATTTTTGTTTGTCACTATTTATTCATTTTTTAATTTAATGAATGAATTAATATTTGAAAAAACTGTATTAACATCAAGTGTCATCCACCATAAGTTTAAAAAATGTACTTGAACTTGAACGGATAAATGAAAAGTATTTTATTAACGATAGAAAATTTGAACGATATATATATATATATATATATATATATATATATATATATATATATATATATATATTAGGGAGAGAGTAAACTTTATGTAATAGTAAGAATTGAAAAACGACTATATACGAAATAATCGAAATAAGGTAAATTTACGCTTGACAAATCCTAGTTTCTTTCTTGATTCAAGACTTTTTTTTAGGGGGAGTCATATTTTGGAGATTTTACAAATAAAATATTCTAGGAAAAACTTATTTTAAAATATTTAATTATTGAACTGATAATAAAACTGTAAAATTTTTTAACTAAAGGTATTTTCACTTTCAATATCAAAATTAAGTTAATAACCAATAAGTTTTTATTCCCTATTTTTTTATTGTAGAATGGGTACATTTTTTACTAAAATTAGTTTTCATACATCATTTAAATTTGTAAGAACATTTTAAGTACATTTTTCACCTGGATATCTTCTATTAAATCCTTATTTTATATTACTTCATTTTTTTCTTGTGTGATATATACTCAGTTAAGGCCATTTTTGAATAAATATTTTTCTTCAACAGCTTATATAAATCTCAGAACTTCATGTATTCAAAATGTGTATAATGTAGATAAAAAAAATTTAATTGTTTCCCTTCATAATGTGCAGAAATACTTCCTGTTATTGGCTGTTCTCCCTTGCCTTGGGCTTGCCTATGATTGTCCAGATCCAAAAGTCTCTTGTTCGGAAGGTGAGTTTTGAAATTTCAATGGGTTTTTTTTTTATTTTTGTAAATATGCAAAGTGTTCGTGATCCTAACCACTAGGCTGTTGTAGCCTATTCAAGGCACAGTAGAATCTGTCTTTGTGCGGTCCTTTTTTATGTGGTATATGAATTTCAAAGTCTTGAGCGCCACTGTAATGCTTTCTATCAATGTACCAATGGTGTAATGGAGAATGTTAGGGTCCTCGCCCCCTGCAAAATCAGTTTTTGCCTTAAATATTTTATAAATTGGGTAAATAGATATTTGGAGTTAGTCAAGCGTTGGGTCTCCTAGAGTTCTGCCATCCCCCTTGTGAGTCGGGGGTGGACTTTACGCCACTGCAATGTACATATACACACTGTACATTGCTCTGTTCATTTATTATAAACAGTCTCACAACAATGCATGTTCAGTTGCTTTCTTTCAACGTGCCAACAGCCCGCGCTTGATGGAAGACGAAATATTCAATGACAGTGACATTATCAATAATTTGAGAGATTATGAAGACGGACAAGAAGAACCAGATACCTTGAGAGTGGATAAAATGTAGGCAGGAATAAGGCTTTCCAACAAATTGGGAAAGTATTTTCTTAAAATAGATACGAATTCCGAAAGAAGTATGAAATTCCAAAAAGAGCTTTGATCATACATATCCCTGGTGATCTTGACATTTACAATCAAATGACCAACCAACCAACCTTCGTAGCATTAACTTATCTCTTACTTTATGGTGCCAAAAAATAAATCAATTGAAATATTATTTTCACAAAAAATGACGAAAGCGATTTTGAACAAATTCATCTCAGGAAGATGAGCGCTTTGGTTTACTATGAATAGCAGTGAATTACGTATGTGCATTTTGATAACTTCTCCATGTATATGTTACAGTTAAAGTGTGAAACCTGGTATTCCATAGAATAACTGGATATTTCATGAAATAACTGGACAAGTTAGTCAAAGTATTTAAAATTGTTGAATTCTGCTATTTAACTAGGTATTCTATAGAATAATGATTACTTGATTGTTAAAGTATGAAATACCGCATTTCCGAAAGTTCTTTGAACCAGTTCTAGCTGCTTTAGGCAGCATTTTTTCGATTAGGAACTATAGATGGCCGAATAAAACAATTGTAGTCTAAATCTTAGTATAGTATAGTATGTCAGCGAGAATTAATTTCCATTGAAAAAGAACCAAATATTGACACAATGCTTCGATCTGTCGCAACAGTTCAAAGTTGAGGTACAGGACTAAGATTTAAAAAGTAGTGCTCGTGTAAAAAAATGTGTAATATTAAAAGGTGTGCTTGTTTCTAAAAAATAATAAGCAGTGTCATCACGGCAATCATTTCTTTTATAAATAATGAAAAGTAAAATAAAGGTATCTCATAAAATTTAAATTAATATTTTCTTACATTTTTGTTTAAAAAAGTTTACCCAATGTTTTTAAAACGCAACAGAATTTCTTCTCAGCATGTATTTTTGTTGATAATTTTTTAATATAATCTATTTTTGCAACATACACACACACACATTCTTTGTTCCCCTTTCTGTTTAATTAATGCTATCGATACGAGCATCAATAAATAATATCTGCTTTCATTTGTTATTTTTCAATTATTCATCCGCAAAAGAGATAAATTATATTTTTCGAGAGATTTTTAGCTATTTATGAACAATTAATTTATAAAATATCTTTGAAACTGTTTATTTTTCTCTTTAACGGTTCATCCTTAGCTATTTCATAGAATACCTAGTTATATCATAGAATAACCAAGTAAATTATGAAATTTTTCATCTATAATATACTTTAACTGACTTGTCCAATTTTATTTCATGAAATACCTAGTTATTCTATGAAATAACTGAATTATACGCTTTAACGGTAACATATACAATGAGAAACTAAATGAATTTTTTAAATGTTTCCATGTGCAGTTTAATTTATTTTGTTATGGAAGCCCTCTTCTCAAAAATTTCATAAGTAAATGGCGTATTTTCTAACTGCGACTTTTTTTTATCCCTCTCCACTGCATAAAAAATTCTGTAGTATTTCGACGAAGTTATGTCATATATCTAAGAGTTTATGTAATTTTTGAATATTTTTAGTGCAATTTATTTTTAAACTGTACCTATCTACTGCGCAAATACAGGTTTTACTGTATGGTGAAAATTTATTGTTTAGATGTTTTCTGTCACTTTTTATTTTAAATTGTTACCTATGTGTTACGAAACATCTTGTTTTTACATTGGATGAAAAAATATTTGCATGTAAACATCTTTAAAATAAATATTTCCCACTAAGTGCCTATGGTTTTGGAGTACTTGCGTCCTATCACAACCATATTAGTGACATCGAATAAAACCAAACAAAATACGGTGACGGGAATATGGAGAGCGTTATTAAATAAAACTGTGTTAAGAGAGTAATAAAATATAAATAAATAATAATCAATAACAGGAAAAATAACTTTTATTTAATTTAAGTTTATATGTTTTTATTGTTATTTATAATAATAGTGGTAATAATTTTTGTTTACCAAAGACTTCGGTAAATCCCAGATTCGAATTTTAGTGTTGCAGCTTGCAATATCAACGAATGGTTAGGCTTAGCATAATAGCAAGAAGAGAAAAATGAAACGAAGCACATGGTTGCCAATTCGGTGCCTACGACACTTGCGAAATCAGATTTGCCAATGTGGCGAGTTCATCAATGTTGGCATAATTGCGATAGTACGTAAGTACCGATTTTTGTCTTAGAGTACTATTTTTATGAATTATAATAACATAATTGCAGTTTATTCATTTCTAACTAGTAGCTTCCATTATGGAACAAAAACCGAAACCTTGTTGTTGTTGTTGCACGCCCCCAATGGTCAGCAGTGCTGGACCAGGTCCATGACATTATACACTTTCAGAAAGTTCAATACCAGCAAGGGATCGTCTGCTAAATCATGCTTGTTGAGCCCAAGGCATTCGAGGATGTGAGCAGGCGTGGCCGGTACTGTTCATGGATGGAGGAAAGTAGCAGCCTCTGTTAGTCACAGGACTAGAACACCTAAAAGTAGGTAGAGGACCGACTTAGCTCTAGGTGGTATCTCATTTAGTCTAAATCCTACCCTACGAAGACCTGACGGCATGGGAGATCCTACCTGTAGTTAGAGTACCGCCAGCATAGCTCCCAGGGTTGTCAGAGTACCAAAAACTTAAATACAATCACAATTACTTCATATCTATGAAATAAAAAGTACTGCTAAAATCTTCTAATTTTATTTTATAATTTTCAATGTAAAATCTCACATTTAATTTGATTTGAAGGTCAAATGTGCTGTGAAATCGGAGGCAAATACACATGCTGTGCTTCTGATGAGTTTATTCCAGAGGAAAGGAGACAAATGTACGCTGGTACTGAAATCGTCGAAGGATTCGACAGCTTTAAAAATTCCACTGTTCAGAACTCCTTTACCTGCAACTTTATATCGTGCTCGCCGGGAAAATGCTGCAATAATGACTACTGCTGCCCTTTTGCCAATGGAAAGTGCTGCCCAGACAGAAAATGCTGTCCTTATGGAACACAATGCTGTGCGGCCACTTGCTGCCCATCTGGTCAAGATTGCTGTTCAACAGGGTGCTGTGCCTACGGACAAAGGTGTTGTGGCACCTGGTGCTGCAAGAAGAAGCAGACATGTGGCTACGCTGCGTACTCATGTTACGGCGCGGGAGCCATTTTCACTCCCGCTATCACAACTGTTCTGTTTTTGGTGGGTTCCGCAGTTGTATCCAAGAAATATTTTCTGTAAATTTTCGAAATAATGAGATGAAATTTCCAAATGAAAAAGTGTATATATATCGTGCGAAAAACAGCAAATTTAACGAATTGCTGGATCAGTTGTCAAGAAATGAGAAAAGTGTAAATGCATGGAATTATGTTTTTGTTATAATAAAAAGTGATTTTTAACATACATCTGAGTTTTGAAATGTATTTTCGTATGAGGCTTACTACATACTTAAAGTGGGCAAATTATTTTGACAAAAGCCTTTCAACACAACACTGAACCACCTATTAGCCTTAAAAC